AGTCTGTTTCATGCTAAATGAAATTGTCAGGTCATCGATGCTAAATGATTGTGAAGCATGAAACAGACTGTCACCTCTGGGTGTTGACTTCAATGTCCACTCTTATATTTACATATGCTCTATCCCTGATATTGAGCTCTTTAACCCATAAATGTAGCATACCTTAAGATTATAGTATATAAATTGTATGGGCTCAGTCAGTATTTCTTTAAAGAAAACACCTTAAAATAGGATATTTCACATAAAATATTTTTCGACTTTGTCTTAGTTTTTTCCCTAAATCGATTGTTGATAAATAATAATTTATATATTGTTTTCCCATATATAATTCAATTAACCCATTACTGAATAAGGTTTCCATAAAATTTAGTTTCTTTTTGCCTAATCTACCTTGATGGCTAATGGTAGTTTGCATGCAGGAAAATTTTAAAAATTGAATACCATGCACTACTGAGCTAAATAGTTTCAGCATCCGAGCTTAGTAGAGGAGTTAACTAAACTAAAGAAGGTATGATACATACTAATTATTAAATCTAAAAGCTATCCCCAAACTTTTTATCTATAGTATGGTATGTGTATATATAACAAAATCCCGAAGATCCAACTATAAACTGGAAAATTTTGAAAAAAGACCAAATGCTACAACAATTGTAGTAATATCTGCAACCTTCGTCAACAAGAAAAGTTAGCAATAATAACATTTCCAGACAAAAAAAACCTTTTGAATGAAAGATCAAAAATTATGACTTGTTGCATATACACTAAAAAGTTCATTTTGAGTTTGTATGAACTAGGATAAAAAGAAAGTATGTGAATTTCATTTAACACCCCCAATGGTACATTTCCAATACCCTTGCTTTTCTTCTCCTTCTCCCCTTTTATCAAACTTCCTATTGTGTGTTTACTTATTTTTAAATAATATAAAGCACTCATTAATATTTTTAAAAATAAAGCATTAAGAAATTGAGTGAAATCACCTGAAAGGTTGAAACCAAGGTAGCAGAATTGGTGGATCCCCTAATTTGTATATATATATATATATATATATATATATATATGATGAATGCCAAATGTTTCCTTATAAGAAAACAGCTAATCTCACCATTACCTCATCCAGAATTCAGAAAGAAAAGATTGCTGAAATTCCTTGGACACATAATCAGGAAGGAGGACCTGTAAACCGTAATCCTCACAGGGCATATTGAAAGCAAGAGAGATAGCGGAAGGCAGCAAGTCACTTACCTGATGAACTTGTGTGAATAGGAATGGGTGAAACAGGGTATGGTAACCTTAGCACAGGGAGAGAAACTGTTAAGAACCACACGCGATAGGAAGCTGTGGAGAGTCATGGTCGCCTATGTTCTGAAGGGAAATGGCATATAGAAGAAGATCTATTTATATAACCTTTAATTTGTAGCTCAAATGCATTTTGTCTTCTTTCTTTGTCCTTTCTTCCCACTTTTCTTTATGACTTTGTTTTGTTTTAACAGATGACAGAAAATGTGACAGAGAAATCCAATGTGCATTGGAATAGTAAAAGAGCCTTCCAAAAGCTAAGCAAAATATTAAGAAACAGGAAAAAATTCAATAAAAAAAAAGGGAAGACAATGGTTATGTAATATCAATCTTCCTTTATGGCGGTAAAAGCTGGACAATTTCCTCACAGATGAAGAGGAGAGTTGATCAAAAGATATGCATGAAAGATACTTGGAATACCACAGATGAAACATGAGAGCAATGAGGAAGTTTTAAAAAAAATGAAAACAAAAAGGACACCTTATTTAGAATCAGAAAAAAATTTATGGAACATAATAAGGAGAGAGGGCTTGGAGAATTTGACATTCACATTACATATAGAAGGAAAGTGATCTAAGGGAAACAGTGAGGGATTTACCTAATGCAGTTGTATAAATGGATGGCAGAGCAAGAACTGAGAGATATAGTAAAGAGACAAACAATGCTTAAAGTTATAAAGGATAGGAAGTTGTGGTGAGCCATGATCACCTGTGCTCTGAAGTGACATGGTTCATAAAAGAAAAACATTACTGATGGAATATAGTTATCAAATATATAAAAAAAATTCATTTACATTTCTTTTTAATCATTTCAACCCAAGCATTGTGAAGTCAACTGCTAAGAAAGTTGGTTCACTGTGTTGGGCTTGACAATTTTTCTCTCTAGAATCTATCATTCGTTCATGCTTAGAATATTGCTGCCAAATATGATCTGCTTCTCCTGCTAATTACCTTGAGCTCCTTGATAAAATCTAAAGAATCAGTATTATTGGCCTTGATCTGATGGTTCAGCTTCAGTCACTTTCTAAACGTTGTAAGGTTGCCTTTTCTATAAATACTTTTATGGTAGTGGTTTGGATGAGCTCTTTGCTGTGCTACCTGGACTTGATGAATTTATGTGCAATACTAGACTGGCATCGAGAACTCATTAATTTACAGTTAAACTGGTGAGATGTGACCATAAATTCTATGCTAAGAGTTTCTTTTTTCATACTTCCTGCTTGTGGAACTCCTTTCTGGCTCCATGCTTTGCAGCTAACCTTAATCTTCAAAAATTTAAATGTAATGTCAATCACTATTTACTGTCCTCCTGATTACTCTTTTTGTCCCTGCTCATTAGAAATATTTATGTTTTCTAATTCTTCCACACCCAGTAACTCCTTGTGTCTTAGTGGCTTTACTGCCTTGGGGAGAAATGATTAAAAAAAGCAAAATAGCATGGTGGCAATGCCACTAGAATGCAGGGGGTTACAGGGAGTGAAAGAGAATGAGAAGACTCTAGTAAGGAGAAGTGAGGAAAAGACTATAAAGGAACAGGATTCCAGAAGACAAAAAGTAGTGATTGACTTTGCATTTATATATATATATATTTACAGCAAAAAAAAACAAACATTATGTCAACATGGGGATAGTCTATTTCAAGCTGGTCTGTACGCAGCTGTCATCAGCCCTTAAGTGTCCGTCTCAGAACATTGTTTTATTTTCATCAAATACTATTGCCTTGTTGTTTTGTACTTGGTTTGTTGTCAACTTACTATCTTCTGAACAATTTTGTTTGTGGACACCTTTGTACCAACACACAATGAAACACATCACCATCAGAATTCCTGCAGCAATAGCCATTCAGTGAACAGCATATTCGGATTGCCTTGGTTTCCTCACACCCGATTTTTGAATAATACGAGCCTGGAAAAAAGTTCTTGTTCACACACAAGGAGTGTTCAATCGGCTGCACCTGGCACTGAAGGATTTGTGAGTTGCTTGAATACATAGGCCTACAGTAATTATAATATAGGGGTATATAATTGACTCAGACAACCGAGCAGGTTCTGATTGCCTTGGTTTCACCACACCCAATTTTTGAATAATACAGGCCTGGAAAAACTGAAGGATTGGCCGTGTGTCTGCTCCTGAGATCTGGGCAAGAAATTTTTACAACCTTGTAATAGACCATAGTCAACTGCAAAGCAGCGAGGAACTGCGATATGATATTTTAATGAAAAGATCTGAAAAAAATGCAATAGAGTGAAGCCATGAAAGTTGAGACCCGAAGTGGCTAAGAACCACTGCACTTGAATGTTGACTCACTCGGGTTGAGCCTGACTATCTTGGCCCCCAGAGTTGCCACTTTATATATATATATAAAGTCAGTGGTGAGTCACATCAAAATCTAAAACTTACCTATATATATATAGGTAAGTTTTAGATTTGCATGAGTCTGACCACTGACTTTATTACAACTCTACCACCTCCCCCACTAAATTTTAGCCATTTTATCCATGAACAATAAAAATATTTTTAGTGGTAGGGGAAATACTTTTTGATGATTAAGGTAAACATTGTTAACAGAAAAAGGAAATATTATACATATATAGTTTTAAGATACACTATATTTAAGGGTAAAAGTGCTCAATATCTGGAATAGAGCACGTGTAAATATAAGAGTGGATACTGAGTTCAACACTAGGTGGCAAGACACAATCATCATGCCCTGAGATTGGATTCATGCATGAACCAAATTGTTGTCAGTTGGTGTTGACCTCAGTGTCCACTCTTTTATATATATATATATATATATATATATATATATATATATATATATATATATATATATATATATATACATATATATATATACACATATATACACACACACATATACACATACACACATATACACATATATATATATATATATATATACACACATATATATATATATATATATATATACATTATTATATATATATATATACACACACATCACATGTCTCAGTGGTTTTAATGCCTTGCTTGGGGTGAACTTGATTAATATATATATGTGTGTGTAAATTATTTTCAGATAGAGTGTAGAGGTCTGTGAAGGAAGAAAATGAATAAAAAAACAAGAGGAAAAACTCTTGTCTTTTTTTTCATATATATATATATATATATATATATATATATATATATATAGTAATATATTTTTAATTAGATCTAAAAAAATGTGACAAGCATACACCTAACTTAAAGCTTCATGGTAAAATTGAACACCTAATATAAACTGTCTGTGCTTTGACAGAACCAATTTTAAGACACCCCCCTACACACATTATCTAAATATATATATATATATATATATATATATATATATATATATATGAAGTAATTTTGGATTTTGTTGTGTAAAAATATATATATATATATATATATATATATATATATCATATTTAATTTGTTTTCAATTACACCAGAGGCAGCATTTATTAACATTAATGATAAACATAAAACAATGAGTGACAGTTCTACTTTGTTACAAAGTAGCTGAATTTTTGAAACAAAATAATTATTTTCCATCACAGATTTTTATGGCTACCACAAATCAATAAGATTAAAAACAAAACATGTCAAAATTAAATCATAATTTCTTTATATCATGATAAAGATGAAGAAAGCAAAAAAAGAAAAAAATTTGAAATTCTGAATGATATAAAATTGATAACTTACTCGACTTCCCATCCCTGAATCTGAATGCCCACTGATGGCTCTAGTCAGATGTTGGGGTCGGTTAGGAACAGGCTTCCCCTCAGCCACACACTTGATCACCTTTAATGGAAATTTTAAAAAAATAAATAAAAAGTTTTCAAAAGAAAGTCTATTTTTCATTTATTAAAAAGTGATTTCTTAGAATCAATTTCCTTATTTTTTTTTTTTTTTATCTCACTATTTCGTCTGAAGTAATCTCCAGATATGTCTTAATCACCATCTCAGAATGCTGAATATTGTAAGTCTTTATTCAATTCATAGGGTAAGCTGTTCTCACTCTCATTCCTGGCCCTGATCTGGCATCTCGTTTACAGTTGGCTCACTCACAGACTTGTCGTCACCTCCCTCTGTCCTTTCTACAAATACTTTCATGTTAACTGCTCCAACAAGTTACTTTCGCTAGTTTCCAGACTGCATGAATTTAAATGTGCAACTAGGTTGGCATCATGGTCCCACCCTTTCACTGTTGAAATGGTTAAATGTAGCCATCTCTTCTACTCCAATAGCTTCATGTCTCCCACTTCCCATCTGTGGAATTCCCTTCCTCTTACTTGCTTCCCTGATTGCTATAATCTCCAACTATTCAAATGTAATGTCAATTGACGTCTCCAGATGCCTTGATCTCTTCCCTGTCCTTCTCTTCATCCTTTCCTCTATCGTGCCTCTTTACTCTCACTCCCACTTTCTATAACCCCTTGCATGCTAGTGTCACTCCTGTTTTGCTTGGGGTTAAATGCTTAGAAAAAAATATCTGTAGTTCATCTTTGGAAATATTTCAGAACTCATGATGCTCATCTGCCTCTTCTCTGAGTCAATATACTTTTGGTGCTTTCTGATCCAGGGACTGAACTCGCAATTTCCAGGAATAATAGATGAACTTTATTCATGCATTTCAGTTTTTTCTTATGATAGGGGTTTGATTTTCTACAGAGTTGGTGTATATTTTTTTCACTGCATGACACAAGGATTGAACACAAAACTTCAAGGGAAACACATGAGCTTTACTTGTGCATTTTAATTCTTTGCTATGATACTGGTATACCTTTCTACAAAACTAGTATATATATATATATATTTTTTTTTTTACACTGCCTAACCCAATGATTGAACTCAAAACCTTCAGAGAAACACATGAGCTTTACTTGTGCATTTCAGTTCTTTCTTTTTATACTGGTTGGCCTTTCTCGAAAGCTGGTGTCAATTTCAACACTGTCTGACCCTGGGATTGAACCCACAATTCAAGAGAACCAGTACAACCCAAGAGGTTACTGAATGCAACATGAGAACAGGGAGAGGTTACATCATCTGCAATATAACAAAAGCAATAAAGAGGCGGAAACAGTTCTAAAAGAATCAGTGTGTAATAATAACAATGCCTTGTCTTTGAAATTCAGACAATCGCTTATTTATTTATATAACATATACTTGAGAAATGTCAACAGGATTCATGGAAAAATTTCAAACATTTTACTTAAAGACAGTTAAGTTTAAAGTACATGTATCTGCTTGACTATCAAGTGGCAACATAGCTAAATCACTGAATGCAAGAAAACACGTGACTTTTCATATAGAGAAACAAATTCTTATGGATACAGGAGTAGGATAACAGTTATCCATACAGAAAACAGAATCGGTAATCCAAGTTCAAATTCTGACCTAGTCTTCTGCATTCACTTTTGCACTTATGCCCTTGGGAAAGGCATTAATCCCTCTCTTCTTACCCCAGCTATGGTTAAAAAGAAGAGTAGGGTCAGCTTTCTAGTCTTGGGTGGTAACCAGACTAACAGAAGGACTACTCTGGATTGAACATTGTGGAGTAAGTTGGTTGGTTGTTTTACACCAATCACCGTGGGGAAAACAACAGAAAAGCACTCCACTGTCTTTTTCAAGAAGTCATGTCAATTCATAGATAATAAAGAAAAGGAATCTTAGAAAATGACTACTTGGAATTCAAAACTGTGTAGAAAGCAATGGGAAACCGTTCCATTATCTTTTCCAGGAAGTGATGGCAATTCACAGATAATAAAGAAAAGGAATCTTAGAAAATGTCTACTTTGAAAAATGTGGAAAAAGCAATGGCAAACCACTCCACTATCTTTGCCAAAAAGTCATGGCAATTTGCAGATAATAAAGAATGGGAATCTTGGAGAACAACTATTCTGAATTCAAAACTGTAGAGAAAGCAACGGGAAACCACTCCACTATCTTTGCCAAGAGGTCATGGCAATTCCCAGATAATAAAAGAAAGGAATCTTGGAGGACTGCCCCGATTTCAAAACTGTGAAGAAAGCAATGGGATACTGCTCCACTATCTTTCTCAAGAATAATCATTGCAATTAATTAGTTGTTCTTCAAGTTGGGAGAAGAGGACAATATCAGTTGTATACAGTTATCAATGACATAAGCACAGATTAAAACTTAATTTTTGTAAATAAAAAACAAAGGACAGATAACTCTTTTAAATTAGTCAGGGTTCGATTTGACACTATATTTATATTATGAACAGGATCCTCCTTCTAAATTGATAAAAAAATCAATATTTCTTGATTTTGACAAATGTTTTGGCTTGAGGAAAGTTTAAGTGATGCTAATCTAGAAAAATTATTTGAGAACCCCCCCCCAAAGAATAAAATAATTCATCAGTCTCACCTCTGCCCATGTTTGGGCCCAGTCTTTGCATTCAACTGCGAAATGGTATGTTTCTGACATTGGTTGAGTAAGCTTCAGTTCATAACCATGACGTCCCTCACGTTCCGTACAGCTGACATTATAACCTGCCAAAGTGATGACCAAACCCGGCCGCAGCTCCTTCTCAGATTTGTAACAGATCAAGCGTCCAGCACTGACAGCCACAAGTCGTTTATTCCAGGTGAGCTTCCGTTTAAGGTGAAGTTCACCCGAGATAATCACATCTTCCAAAGATCTAAAAGGCTGAGCAAGATTCCACTGTGATGAAGAGTGGGATTTTCGGCCATTCTTCATCTTCTTCATTTTTTTTAAAGTTCTGCAAGAATTTTACAAATAATAATAATAATAATAATAATAACAACAACAATAACAATAATGACAATATATTAATTTTAGCAACATGTTACTAAGTTATATTATTTGTTGATATACCTGATATGTAATCGGTACTTACTAGTTTTATTAATTTTTAAAAATCTTTTTTTTTTTTACCTGATTTGGGCAGAGCACTGAACAATTATTAGACTCTTATTGTTGATAACAGGAAGAAGAAAGAGAAAGAAAGAGAAATGCAATAATAGTAATAATAATAATGGTGGTGGTGGTGATTATAGTGGTAGTGACTTATCAGTTATTTTTGAATGATGTTTTGTTATTTATTTATTAGTAATTTATATACAATTTTTATTTTAGAAACCATACAATGCAAACATTTATAATAAATTTTTCTTTAAATATTATTAGTATCTATACATTAATTGTATTTATGGATAAAATATATTCACGTAATAACAGGATTAGGGAGATTTGAATATAGTTTCATATTATTGAACACAAGAGAGAAAAAGAGAAAAAGTCAAAGAAAATTCCATTGAAAATTGAAGTTATGTCAGAGCCTCATGAAAAAAGACAGCAATCCTTAGTGAGAAACCAGATTGGGATTAAAAAATTTGCAACTGGGACAAACTCTACCCAATGAGAACTAGAGGAAAACCATTTTGAGGACATTCCTCACAGAGGCCCTATATATAAATTAAAAGAAAATCCCACAAAAAGAACAATAAATAAATGGTCTAAGGAAGAGTATATTGAAGTAATGATAGCATTTTACACTGCTACAATAAATCTGACAATGATAACAACAACCAAAGCCACCTATAATATCTGGCAAGAAAAACACTCCTGAAACAGACTAAACATCAATGCCAAGAAATTAGCCAATTTCAGGTGTGACATCAGGAAAAAAAGAATACCTGACATAGAATTCAAAAGCATCCAAGAAAACATCAAAAATAGATTAAACATTAACATTGAGGGGTTAAATGCCAACAACCCAGAGAAGACATGCAGAGGAATAAATAGAAACTTGTTGTAATAATCCCTCTGAGGTACACAAGCAAATAGAGGAAGATAATGATGAATATGAGAGAGAAACAGAGATCACAAAAAACATCCAATATAAATTAGAGAATGTAAAGAAAATGTCTTTCAAGGAAAGGCCAACAATTCCAAAAGTAAGGAAGAATTGTCAAGTGAAGGAAATCATCAACCTTGCTAACCAAGCAATTAGAAAAATAAGGGATGAAATGGAAAGGCCAATGAATCTGACAGAAATTAATCATCTTATATATGCAGCTACAGCAATGAGAAAAATAGCTCCAATAGAGTATGAAAAATATTGCAATTACATTTTACTGAGAAAATCAGAAGAAATTAGATTTGAAGACATGGTAAATATTCTGATAAAAATCTTTAGTGACCAGAGCCATCTGTTTAATGGTCATTGGAGGTGTTTGAATTTAATAAAAAATGAGGATTAAATTGTTGTCATGTATGCTGGTATTATCAATACAGAATGTGAAAGTTTTAGAATAAATGAAATGACTCCAGTTATTTTCAAAGGCTTAATTTTTGTGCAAAGTATAGCAGCTAAAATAGATGCTGAAATATGAGCAAAATTTTTAACAAAAATTGAACAAAACAATAATATTACACTGTAAGAAATAGTGGATGATTGTTAGACAATGCTAAATCTGAAGCACACAGCTGAAGAAATTCAGAAAAAAATGTGCATTGGTACAAGCAAAGGACAAATGTACAAAAAGGAGAATAAATCCTTGTTTCAGATGTGGTAAATTATATCTGGGAAAATACTGTCCATTTAAAAATGCAGAATGTTACAAGTGTTGTAAAAAGGACATATAAAGTCACACTGTAAAACCAAACCAAGAAAAAATTCTCAGAGGAAGAAATTAGTGCATAGCACTGTGATGGATAAAATGGTCACAGAAAACAAAAGAAAATTTGTAAATGTGAAAATAAATAATGTGGATGTGAAAATTCTACTGGACACTGGTAGTGATATTTCAATAATCAGTGAAATGACATGAAAGGAAACTGGAAAGCCTTTATTAAAAAGGACTTCCAAAGTCGTGATTTCAGTTTCTTTTGAGAAATAATTTGCAATGCCTTTCTTCTTAATAAGCAAATAAAAACTAAAGCTTATGTATGAAAAAATGCTATGAATTTATTTGGAATGAATTGGATGTAACTATTTGAACTTTAGGATTAGTCAATAAATGTTTATTTTAAAAACATAAGTGGAAAAACAACCAATTAAAAACTCAGGGCCAAGATCTTAAAGAAGAATTAAAAAAGTGTTTTCCAAATGTTCTGTCAAATGAACTGGATCATTGTTCAAAATTCAAGGTGGATTTTCAAGTAAAAAATGGTTCAACGCTAGTATTTAAGCCAAAATGGTGCATATCATTCACAACATTGGAACAAGTTAATGAAGAGTTGGACAGACTCAAAAGAATTGGGGTAAGAGAAAAAATTAACCATCTGAAATGGACTGCACCAGCGGTGAATATAAAGAAAAGAAATAATAAAATTTGTGTTTGCGCAGTTGTTTAGAAACACATAACTACTCATTACCAAATCTAGAAGAAATTTTTTTGAAGTTGAACAGCAGAATGATATTTTCAAAGCTGGATCTCTCTGAAACATATTTACAAATTCAGATTGAAAATCAATATTCTGAATTAATGACTATAAATATTCACAGAAGATTATACAAGTTTAACGGACTTCCTTTTGGCATAAAGGTAGCACCAACTATTTTTCAACAGGCTATGGATACCATGCTTGTGGACTGCGACTTCACAGTGGCATGTCTGGACAACATTCTGATCAAAAGAGCATCAAAAGAACAACATGTTGGGCATGTGAAAAAAATTTTGGGAAAACTAAGAGAATATGTATTCAAGCTTAGTGAAGAAAAATGTGAATTGTTCTTGCATAAAATTAAATATTTTGGTCAAATTATTGATAAAAATGGTAGGCAACCAGATCCATCAAGAACAACTGCAATTAAAAATATGCCTTCACCAACAAATGTGACTATGTTACTCGCTTTTTTAGGACTGACTAATTACTATCAAATTTATGCAAATAATATGCATAAGTTAAGAGCTCCACTTAACGATCTATTTAAAAAAGGAGTAAAGTGGAATTGAAATGATAAATGTCAAAAGTCGTTTGACGAAATAAAAAAAGACTAACATCTGATTTATCATTAGCACACTACAAGCCAAAAGCAGAAATTGTAGTACCATCAGATTTTAGTGAATAAAATATTTGAGCAGTAATTTTACATAAATATGATGGTGGTAAAATGAAAGCCTTCACTCATGCTTCATAATTGTCTAGCAGCAGAGAAAAATTACAGCCAGATAGAAAAAGAAGCTCTAGCAATTATATTTGCTATGAAGAAATTTCATAAATTTATTCATAGAAGAAATTTCACATTGCAAACAGACCATAGACCTTTATTAGCAATATATGGTTCTGTTGTAGAGTAGTTTCACAGTGGAGGCTTGTATTTTAGTAAGTCGGTCCTAAAAAGGTTCGACGTTTAAAACGTTAGGAACTTGTTATAATAGTTAATGACGCAGCAATCTAGTTGTGGTGATTGATATTTTAATGTCTGACATCGACTGACAGACCAACTCACTCAGCTCCCTGGCGACTGCTACTACTACTACTTATCATATGTGGGAGAGTCTATTAACAATAGAATAGGTGTGTTTCAGTATAACAGGTTCAAAGAAAGGTATACCTACTCATACAACTAATAGACTACAATGCTGAGGTACATTCGGTTAAATTATGATTTTATGATGGAGTACCAACCATTAAAAAATTAAGAATGTGGATGGATTATCTAGATTAATACCTAAAAATGCGTAACCATTTGAGGACACGGTCATTGCAGCACTAAAAACAAAATGGAAATAAAAAAAAATTGCGCAATGTAGTACGAGATTTACCAGTTACCCTGGATGAAATAAAAGGAACAGCGGAAAATTATGTTTTTATTGTGAAAATGAAAAAGCAATTGAAAGAAAGTAAGAAAGACTGGAATTCAGACTTAAATACATAATCAATATGTGATTGTGAAGTAATGTACAGTCAAAGTAATACTGAATGTATTACAGAAACAAATATTAAAGAATTTTCATTGTAGACATCATGGTATTTCTAGACTGAAATCTATGATGAGAAGTTTTTGGACTGGAATGGACCAAGATATTGAAAGAATAATGAAAGCATGTAGAGGTTGTGCTCTGGCAGTAAAACTACCTATCACAAAGATAGAACCTTGACCAAAGACAGACACAACACAGTCAAGACTGCATATAGATTTTTCAGGTTCACATGGATCACATTATCTTGTGGCAGTTGACAGTTTCACAAAATGGCAGGAAATTTATAAGTATAAAAATCCAACATCCTCAGTGACAGTGAATTTCTTGCATGAACTGTTTGCGAGATATTGCATACCAGATACCACAGTCTCTGATAATGGAACACAATTCATGGGTAAAGAATTCCAAGATTTTTGTAAGATGTTCTCATTGAGCATATTATGATCCCGCCATATCACCCAAGGTCGAATGAACAAGCAGAATGGTTTGTAGGAACATTCAAAAGAGCATTGAAGAAAGCAAGTCTTGAGAAATTAAATGAGGAAACACTTCAAAATTTTCTGAGAGTTTATTTATTTAACCCCAATACACCATCAGGCATGTTGCCAGTGGAATTAATGTCTGCCAGAAGAGTAAAATCAGTGTCTGACAAGTTGTTACCAAGTCAAAAAACACAAATGGTTAACAAAAGTGTTATGGTAATTTACCCACACAAGCATGGACTCACCCAGCTATAAATAGGAGCAGGTACTGCCTTTTGGAGAGGGAAGTTTCCAGCAGTCAGCTCTGACAGTCGGACCAAACATTCTTGCTGTAACACTCTTGT